CGCCGAGACGCTGCTCGTGTGCGGCCTCGGCGTGCTGCTGCTTCTGCCCCACGACGACGAGGGTGCCAAGCACGACTATGCAGCGATCCACGCCGACGCCGACGTCACGGGCTGGGCGCTCACAAAGGACGTTCGGTTCTGGTACCTCTTCTTCGCCGTGCTCATTGGCGTCGGGTCGGGCCTCTTTGTCATGGCGAATCTCGCGTTCCTCCTCGAGTCGGCGGCGGCGCGCCGGACGCCGTCGCGCCCTACGTCTCTCTCTTCTCGCTGTGCAACCTCGTGGGCCGGCTCGCGGTCGGGCATCTCTCGGACACGTACCTCACCATCTGGACGCGCGCCTCGTTTCTAGGTCTGGGTCTGGCCATGACCATGCTTGGCCAACTCCTCTTTGTATTGGCGCCGCTTGGCTGGTTCTTCGTGCCCGTGGCCGTCGGCGGTATTGCCGAAGGCTTCCTCTTCCCAACGTACACGGTGCTGACGCGAGAGCTTTTTGGCGCCAAGTACTTTGGCGAGAACTTTGGCGCGATGACGCTCGCCAATGCGATTGGGTTTCCGCTGCTGCTCGGGCCGCTCTCGTCGCGCCTGTACCGCATCGCGTCGGCTCTCGACCCGACCTCGGGCGCCGAGGTCTGCGTCGGTCGGCACTGCTTTTTCTGGCTTTTTGCGATCGCCTTCGGGCTCAACGGCCTCGGCCTCTACTGCGCGTACAAGCTGCATCTCGCGATGCGCACGTCGTAATTGTGATGCATGTGGTCGTGTTTCGTTTGCATTGTTACTACAGACTATCAGAACCTCGGAGTGAGCCGTGTGGAGGACACTGGAGATAACTGGAAGAAGCCTGCGTATCATGGAACAAGGCTGCTAAGCCGTCTGCAGGCTTGAAGCGACATTGGCGCAATCACGTTCTGGATTTGAGGAAGAACGGGGTGTCAAAGGGTCATATGAAAGGTTCGACCCTTTGCCAGAGCGCTGGGCCGGGCTCGTGCTCATCAATACGATAGGAGGCTCCTTGGACGTCCACAAAGCGTCGTCAGGTGCTGGCGAGTACGCTCGTCAGCTACTAGATTGCCACGTCATGCGTTGGCTTGTTGTAGATGCCATCTCGTTTCCCGTTTTTGTCCTGTTGGCTAAGATGCTCCAAGAAGACCTCCACACCCGTCTCCACGTCACATGATACGAGCTCCTGACCTGCACAGGAGCCTCCAGTGGTGCTCGCTTTTCCACAATGGATGTAAAAACAATGTGTACCTATATCCTTGTAACCCTTGCCTGGACGACGCCAAGACGTCGATTCGCATCATTATTGCGCACAGAGCTTTCGATTTCACAGGCAGTATCTGAGGTCCAAGCCAACAACGGTGACCTATCCAGTGGTGCCAGGCGCACACTAAGCATGTCGCTCAACTCAGATTGCCACCAAGATCTGAGTGGCGGCACAAGCCACTAGTGGCGTTCGCCTCAACACCACCGATACACCCATTCGTATCGTTATTGCGCACAGTACATAAGATTTCACGTCTGCGACAGGATAGTCCAGTTCCATGCAAGCGGCTCATTTGGCTGGCCTTTGTACACTAAACGCATGCATTATTTCTTGTTGCTTCCCATCCTTGTGGCACCAGTGGTCGCTTGCCATTCCGGCTTGAGCCGGTCGAGGAGGCTCTTGACGAGCCCGATCATGCCTACTCTACTACTGAGGCTACGTCGCGTACTACTATCTGTCTTTGTTTCGCTCCTGTGTCTGGTTCAATTCAGCACGTCCACCGTCGCTTGTCAAAACGAAGATTCGTATTGGAAGCATTTGATTGGCTATTAGAAAATATTTTAAACCAATCCCACGCGATCGCCTACCGACCTCCACCGCTGAGCCGCTTCGTGCGCCAAGTCGCGTTCGGAAATGAAGTCCCTTCAACTTGGCACAGTGAAAGAGGGCACTTTGGAGATCACGAAATGATACTCCGTGTCGGCGTGCGAGGCGTATGACAACAATTATGCGTTGTCGATAATTGTTCGTGGCATATGCCATTAATAAACGAGCAACCTGCCACATTCAACGATGCCGATCCAGGGTTGAGGCGCGCAGGGACAAAGGCAATAAGAGCACCAGCTGAGAGCACCCTTACGAATGTACAAGAGGGTACTAGTCGTACACCACAACACACATATGGAGGTCAAAACTGCACTCGCATGAATTAAGAATTCATTAGAGTTTCTGCTCGCAGTAGTAAAAGCCGTCGGTCGCCCGCGTCCGCACTTGCGCTTCGTACGTCTCGTCGGCCAAGATGGCATCGACCGCCGACGCGGCGTCCGTCACGATGCGCCACGCGTTGTACTGCCCGCGACGCAGCTCCACAATCACCTCAAAGATCGGCTCGCCACCGCGCTGCGCCAACAGCTTCCGCAGCGGCCCATTGTCGTTCTTCTTTTGCTTTTCCTTGGCCAATGCGTCGCCGACCGTCACTGACTCGACGCCGCCCACGAGCCCTCGCAGCGGCTTGTTCTTGAGCAGCTTGCGCAGGTCGCCGTGCGCCGATGCCACGATGCGCACACCGCGCTGCTTGCACGTGCGCGCGGCCTCGACTTCGTTCGGCCGGCCAATCTCGTCAATGACCATGACTTCGGGCGTGTGGTTCTGGACGCACTCGACCATGACCGCGGCTTGGTCGTTGAGCGATGGCACCATCATGCGCCGCGCCAAGCCCACGCACGGATGCGGAATGTCGCCGTCGCCTAGAGATCAGAGCGCGGTTAGGGTTGGGCTTCTAGTATAAGATTGAAGAGCAGTACCTGCTATTTCGTTGCTCGTGTCGACGATGCAGACGTTGTACTT